GCACATAGTTACACAAATATCACCTTAGAGCGTGCATCTTTCATCAAAACAAAACACAACTAACAATTTCACTTCACAATCCACAAATTAAACATGCTCAGTATAGAAGTCTAGACAATAACTCATGAAGAGGCAGAGCATAAGGCATTAGACAACCCTACCTCAAAGTGGAGCAACCAAACAAGCCCTTAGGGCAAGCCAAGTTTGAAATTCCCCTAGCCCTTGCAATATGAGTGTCAAAAGATAGCCCTCCTCAAGCTCATCAACTTTTTCTTCTATAGCTTCATCAACCTCCCACTCAAAGCCCTTAAAATCCAAGTTTTTTTCTATGGAAGACAAACATGTATATAGGTAGATATAGAGAGAGAACGATAAGGGTTAGAAAGAGAATGTGTTCTGCCGAAATGAGAGGAAGAAGGGGGTAGTGGATTTGTTTTGCTTTTGGATCCATGGCCATTAGTGTGCCACTTGTCACTAAATGGTAGTTTACTAATGTGTGCTAAGTTACCATCATGCCCTCACTTTTATTTCACAATGCCAACCTTATCCTTTAAAATATCTCTCTAATATATAGATATAGGTGTATGTATATATATGAGAAATGACTACAATGGCCCTCACTTAAAATGAGAAAGCTAGGAGAAGTTCTCTAGCCCGGAAGTCGTCCTGACTCCCAAAAATTCTAAAAACCACCCCCGTCACTTAAAAATGACTAAAAATAATTAAAATTACATTTCTAAATTTCTCGACTCAAGAAAATCACCAAAACGACCCACGGGACCCACGTGGTACGCAAAACGAGGCGCAAAAAATAAATAAATAAAAATTTGAAAAAAATCTAAAAAATTCCGGAACATTACAATCTACCCTCCTTAAAGAGATTTCGTCCTCAAAAGCTAGCCTCTTTAAGAAAGAGTGCCACAACCGTTTCCCCTTTCCGGAGAACACCACACAAAACCTGTAAGGCTATGAGCTCACAATCTCATTGTCTTTGGCACCTAATGCCAATAGGCAAATACATACCACCGCCACTAACTACACAGTGTTGACTACCCTATGTGGGTGCTCATCACACGCGTCCTTCCACATTAACCATTTGATTCCATACTTGGCTTAAAACCGATTCTGGTACCCTCCATTAGCCAACACAAGGCTCCATAGCCCAGAAGAAAATGGACGCTAGACCACCGGAGTACAAAGACATCCAACCTCAACTCATCTTTTAAAGGATACATGAAACTCGAGACAAAGGAATCCCGACCACTACCTGGTAAGTCCCAAAACCAAGTCAACACGTTTCCGACAACCACTCCCATGCTACCTAATACGTAGCTGCACGTCAAAAATTAAAAATAAAATAAAATAGTGCAAAACACAAAACTTGGATTAAACCTTAAGCACATATTTGAAAGAGAAAATGAAAACATGATTTTTGAAATGATTTTAAGTTGAAAAAGTACTAAAAATTTTATTACAAAAATGAAATATATATATATGTTTCTAATAGAATGAAAATGAAACGTTGTGCAAATTTTGAATTCTCGTTATTTTTCCCAAAACATTTCCTACCCTAAAATCTTTCTATTTTACATTCCTATTTTATCCAACCACTATATCTATAATTGTAAACCACCAATAATAATTTTTTTTAGTGGGTTTCAAAAATTACAAACCAACAACAACTTTATTGGTGGTAGAGTTTAAATTAACTTTACTTCTATAAATAGTAATTTTTAAGGTGTCAATTAATTGAAATCTATATCATTTTTTTTTTAGATCTACTAATTAATTCTTTATTATTCTATTATTTATTTTATATTTTACTATTTTTATGAAACAAGGCTAATTTAGATAAGTACAAAAAATTTAATAACTTTTATGTTCTTCAATAAATTTACACCTTAAGATCCTTAACCAATTTTTTTTTTTCATTTAATTCACTTTTCTTCTCATTTTCTATTTCTTTTCTTTTCTTCCTAGTTCTCTATCTTAAGTTCTAACCAAACAGAGCTCATATCATGATCACTACATATTACTGCAAGGTCCCAAATGTTGATTGAGGCACACCGTCCCACACCTCTAAGAATTTGAAATTCAATTAAACTAGGGTTGCCGCCCGATAACTCAGTTCTCCTTATCAGAAGGAGAGAGAGAGAGATCTGAACTATGGTGTTGGTGACCTTCAAATCCGATATCTCAGGTCCGTGTGTTGACTACGATTACAATGAATTGGCCGTTCACCGTAAGACCGGTGAGTTGTTGAAGGCCGAAAATGGATTCTCAAAATGTGAATCGGAGAATCTAGAATTGGAAAATGAAATCGATTCTCTGGAAGGCCTGATCAATGAAGTTAAGGAGCTTATGGAAGACGTCACTGAATTGAGTAGGAAGAAAAGAAAGAAGATGCAAAGAAGGTTGGTTAAGAATTCTCAGAAATTGGACGAGAAAAGACACGAATTGTTTAACAAATCTCAAGAACTGTTGATCGCTCAGAACAAGGTCGAGGAATTGCAGAATGATATTCTAAATCTGAAGGCCGATGGTAAAAAACTGAAGAAGAAGATCAAGAAGAAGATGAGAGCGTTGAATCTCGATTCCAAAATCAGTATCAGCAGTGCTGCAGATGTACATGCCATAGCCAAGATGAGGGACTGGGTTGCACTTGCTCCTAAATACAAGATTGGAAAATCAGCAACAACGGATCCTATAAAGTCAATTGGAAAGGCGGCATGCATTTCTGGAATCAGAGTGAAGTTGTCGAAGAAAACCGTTTTGGAGGAGAAAAGCCGATGGTCGTGAATGCGGCACCACTAGCCGCCATTGAGTACCCAGCAGCTGAGTGAGTGATTCTGTCAATTTAGGGTACAAAATGGCTTATATTCATGGATAGCAGTAGTATTCTAGGGTTTAAACAATTCTCTTAAGAATTAGCTTGTTGAACTTCTTGAACGTGTGAACTTCTTGTACGTTGTGAATTTCTTGAACGTTTGATTGCAGGATCCATATTTTCATCTGATGATCTTGTCTATATAGCTTTAGATTATACTATGTGATAAACGTTATGACTGCCTTGCCAACAATACATAACAAAAAATCATAGAATTCGTATGGTCAATTTATGAGTCGTTTATCATTAAACCCCATATGAAAATCTGTATGTTCCACATTGCATTAATCCAAATTATTCTTTTATGAGATGTTAGAATAGGTGAGACTTCTCTAGCTAACTGTAAGATTAGCACTCTATATTGTGCTGCTGTTTTAGCAAATTTATTGAGTTGTACAATATCAGGATTATATCAAATGGCCCACTAACATATGAATTGCACATGATCAAATTATTTTTTTCTTCTATAATCTTAATTTTGGTTGGGGTACATACTGATCTATGGCATTTCATGAATGTGTGGATGTTGTCATTATATTCTTTGCTGTTGTTTCTCATTTGCCTTAGTTTCTACCCTTAAATTATTGGGGCCTTTAAGTGACTATACTTCTCTCTAGTTTGCCCACTCTCTAGTGTGTTTGCTCATTTGCAACACAAACCCCTGGAGCCCCTGCATATTGGCCTCTAGTCTATTACTAAATTATATATAATGATCCAATTATTGGCCTCTAGTCTATTACCAAATTAAGTCCATACGATTTGAATTTAATAAAGCACTGGGGCCCTGCATATTTTCGTATTCTGGGTTAAAATGCTGGATTGAAGTCACAGACATCCATTTCCTACCTCTTTTACCAGCATAATATATGTCAAAGAGGGACCCGTTTCCCTATGTATATGCATATACTTGTATAGATATATAAATTAAGTGATCCAGTTAATGTCCTTTAGTCTTTTCCAAATTACATGGATTTAACTAAAGCACTTCTACTATGCCTTTTTTTTGGGTCCCAAATTAAACCTATTAACTACAAGAATAAGGTTTGGATGTGTACATGTTGCACCCAAAAGTAGTAATTAGTAGTTGAAACTTTCTCATCACCTACTAATTAGCTTTTTCTCAATGTACTTAGTGGAAAGTGGATTCAATCACTCTTGATTTTTTAACTATTATATCAAAGTGTGTGTGTGTATATATATATTGGTCTCAATGGCCTTTATTGCATGGTATACTGCACCTTCCTGCATTTTGCTATGGCACCCCATTCTCAGTCATGTTCTGATTTCTAAGCTTAAATATCTAGAAAAGAACAGTGACTTGATGATGCATCAACCTCTTGTGTGTAAGCTTGCAGAAAACAACAGCCTTTCCCTTTTTCATCTAGTAATACTTAGTACTAGTATATTTGATTTGGTGCATTCTGATGTGTGGACCTTGCTCCAAATCCTTGTAAGGGAGGTAACCTGTATTATGTTATGCTTGTTAATGATTTCTCGTGCTATACTTGGATATATTTAATGTACATTGCGTCTCAACTTTGAAGATTTATTAAGATTTCACCTCTATGGTTCAAACTAGTAACTGAACTTTTTTGTTCTGAATGTGTGGTAAGAGTATCTTTGCCTCATCTCTTTCGTCGCGACTCTTCTTCGCTTCCCTTTCTCTTTCTCTGCAAATCATCCCGAATTTCAACCCACTCTCTTCCCTGTTCATTTGTTCTATTCTCTCCAACAAGGTTGGCCCTTTCCTACAGCTTAATAATACATGTTCTACTTCTGGAATATATATATATTTTTTTCATAATTGTGGTTGTATAAAATAAAAGAAAAATATGTACAGGAGCACAGAGGGCATACCCTCAGAATAAGAACAATAAAACCTTAAGAGATAATGAATTCAAAAATCCAGAATCTCAGACTGAAACAACTAAGGTCAAAGAAGAAAAAACTCCATTGCCTTAACCAAAAACAGAAAAGAAACAAAACAGCAGCAAAGACCTTAGAATTCACCCTCTGCAGCAAACCATTTACCAAAACTCCCACAGACAAACAAAAGTCTTCAGCCATTTAGGAGTTAGCCCATTTCCAATGTAGCAGATACAGCACCAAAAACTTAACAGATAAGGTCTTGTAAACTAGCATGCTGAACAGTAAGAACTTCAAACAGAATTTGTCTAGCTACTGAACTAGAAATAGTACAAACATCTAAGTGAAGTCTAGCATTTCTTTCCTTCCAAATGGCCCACAAAGAAGCAGCAAATAAGCTGCACAACACCTTGGAAGTCTGGTATTTATCACACCAGAGAAATAAATCCATAACTGTATGTACCTCTGCAAAATTTCCCATATCACAAGTAACAAAAAGGTGATCCATAGTATCCAAAGCTTGGAGGCAGAGAGAACATCTAGAAACCAATGGCAGCCTTCTTTTCTGTAAATTCAGCATAGTAGGAAGCTTATTCTGCAAAACCAACACTGCTATAAGAGACCACCGAGGCCTGGCCTTGCCCCAAACCAACTTATGCCACTGCACTTCTTCATTGGAAACTCTACAACATTCCCATGCTCGCTTAAACGAAAATAAACCACCATCCCGTAGCAACTTATCTGGTGCTAGAATGAATTTTAATAGTAACCAGAAAATCTCTGAATGCTTGAAAGAAATCTTCTTGTACCAAAGCCAAATTCCAATCTCCATTCAGCATAACATTATATAACTTAGCATCCCTGTGAAAAGGTAACCTTCTAGCCATCCTATGCCCAAATTTTTGTGCTATTGTTAACCCCTCACACCAAGGATCAAGAAAGAAATTGAATTCCTGACCACTGCCAACTTGATAAGAGACATTCAACAACATGGTTTCCCTAGTCTCCACAATAGACTTCCAAATAACAGAATCAGAGCATCTTGCAATGACATTCCAAAAAGTTGAATTAGTACAATACTTATGCTTACACCAAGACACCCACAATCTGTCCTTACTCACTAAGTAATCCCAAGCCAACACAAACCTAGACACTCTTTGAATGTCTGCCAATCTTCAAAGTCCAAAACCTCCTTCAGTTTTTGGAGCTGTAACTTTTTCCCACTTCAGTAAATGCATTTTACTAGTATGAGCAGTGCTTCCCCACAAGAAATCCCTACATATCTTTTGAATTTGATTTGTCACAGCCACAGGAACAATGAAACAGCTACACCAGTATAGAAAAATGGGAATCACCACTGTTTTTTTTTTTTTTTTTGATAAGTAAGAAATGCATTGAAAGCGTTCAAAAGGGGAACGCATCCCAAGAGAACAAACACAGGGCCAAAAAGAACAGCCCTTTTAAGCCTTCAAAGAGGCCAAGAAAACAACAATATCCTCAAAAGATCTAAAATCTCTACCCGAAACCCAGCAAAAAAGAGTGGAAAGAATAAAGAACTTAAGAAAAGAAATAGATCTCTCCTTGCCCTCAAAATATCTATTATTCCTCTCCAGCCAAATGCACCACCACACACAAAGAGGCGTAGCCCTCCAAGCATCACAAATATGGGCCCCCACAAGGCAACCTCTTCAAGCCTCGACCATCTGTCTAGAGGAGCGAGGCATAACCCAATGGAACCAAACAAACAAAGCATCAAATCCCAACATTCCTTAGCCATGGGGCAATGTAAAAGAAGATGATCCACTGTCTCTTCATCCTGAAGACACATGTAGCACCGATTGACAACCACCTGATTTCTCCTTCTCAAATTGTCTTGGGTCAAAATCTTACCCAAAATAGAGGTCCAAGCAAAAAAAGCCACCTTGAGAGGAGCCTTAGAGCGCCAAACAGACTTCCACGGGAAAGATCCTCCTGGCTCAGCTGTAAGACTCCTGAAGAAGGAACGAACATCAAAGCGACCTTGCGAATTTGGCTTCCAAATCCAACAATCAGAATCACCAGCAAGAGACAGCAGCTTAGTATTCCAGTGGGAGATCTTATTAATAATCTTGTCAATCAATTCTTTACAATTGGACCTTTTCAAACCAGAGGGACAGAGTGGAAGACCTAGATATTTGATAGGAAACACCTCCTCTGAGCACTGCAACAGCCTCAAAATACCTTGCTTCCTTCTAGCAGCTCTAGAGAATAAAACCTTACTCTTCTGAGGATTCATTTGAAGACCAGAAATTTCCTCAAAATTCTTGCAGATAAGAGCTAAGGCTTTAGCATTTGAAATGGAAGCTTGACAAGCAACCATAAGGTCATCTGCAAAAAAAAGATGGCACAAGGGAGATTGTAATCTTCTTGTAGAATGCATGACTGTAATCTCCTTCCTTTGCACTGCCTCGTTAATTTTTTGTGAAATTTGATCTGTTACCAGAGTGGAGAGAAGGGGGGACAATGGACATCCCTGCCTTAAACCCCTGGCCGGCTGAAAAAAACCTGTTGGAGTACCATTTAGCAGAATTGAATACCTGGTTGAGTGGAGAATAGAAGAAATCCACTTAAACCAAAGATCACTGAAGCCATAACCCTTCAGAGCTTTGAGCAAGAATTCCCAAGACACTGAATCATAAGCTTTCTTAATATCTACTTTCAAGGCCATTGAAGCATGCCTAGGTAACTTCTGGATTAATTGAACATTTTTTTCTTCTCTGATTCTCTCCCTGGACTTCAACTTTTGAGTTGATGTATACCTGCCCCTTTGTTGTTGTTGTTGTTTTGCATCTATATGGGGGCTAGATATTTACTTTGGGTTTTGGAAGACATACCGAGTTCAAGATTGACAATACTTTTTACAATCATACTTTTGACACTCTTTTTACCTGGCTTAACATGAGAAAAGTTATGTTTGTATTTTATCACTATTTGAAGCAGTGTTAGTAGATTGGTGGGGGCGTTACGTAAAATATGCATCTGCCAGCACGTCTTTATTGAAGCCTAGTATGTGGGCTGTGTCTTCGAAGAAAAAATATAGTCATGGTAGGAATTAGTTAATGTTGTTGGATGAGGCATGCATAATTGATAGTATAGTTTTAATGTGGCAGAGCTGATGACTCAAATGAGCCATACTACTTGTTTGACGCCATAGAAAAACCTTCCCAAATGGCTGGATCTATTTGACCATGTTTGCTAGGACATCTATTTTGTGCTTGTGACATGATGGTATTAGTGGTGATGTTCGCTCGATCCAATACTTATGTGATATTTTACTTTTTCGTGCTTCAATTTTTCATGAGCATCAAATAATATGTACTGTTTTGCTCATGCACCTTTGTTTAGATGTTGTATCTGGAAAACATATATATGTGATACTGTGACAATTCGACCAGGGGTGGTTTTTTAAATAGCTCAATTGAGGTCATGGCACTCTGTCGAAATTTCGTCAAAAGCTTTTTAAGGCATTGTAATGCACCCTTTTCAACACATTTGGAATCTTTAAAAATTGTTCCAAGATTCATAAATATTTTTACACCACTATTAGATTCAAAATCATTCTTTTTAAAATGTTCAAGCATTTATTCTTCAAAACAAAACTCTGTCGAAATTGAGATTGGTATCTCGAGATCAAACTGTCGTTACATCTGATTTTTTCCTCTTCAAATGAAGGATACCTAGGCAACCTAGTCCACCCATGGGTTCAGTTCCATCCATGGGAAACATTAATAACATTTCTCATCCCTTACATGTATCACTTGAGTCATATCATTAGGTCATATTGACATGAGATTGGGTCTTCACTAACACACTTAAAAAATCACATAAAATCTTGATAATCACGCATAAGTATGGAAATATAAGGTGCCTATCACATTTTCATGTACAATACAATCTCTGAATCCGTTAATCTTGTTCATTAAACCATATGAATGATTATTGCATTCTATTTCTATTCACATACTTTGAGTAACTTAGTGCACCAAAACTCGACATTAGGTGACCATTCTATTTTTTAAGGCCTATTTACACTTTGCCGTGTTAAAAGTATTGTGTTTCCAAAAGCATATTCATTCATACCATCTCCGCATGTTTTTTTTGGTGTTTAAGTACTTTAGAGTTGAGAGCGTAAGAGACCACAGGAGCATTACACTTTGTCTACTAGAAGCCTAGTTGAATAAAAGTCATGATTTTTTTTTTCATGATTTTTTTTTTTTTTTCCTAGTGGAATAAAAGTCATGATGTGTGTGTCTTAGTCATAGCAAAAACAACATATTGAACCATCAAACTTCAAGCTTGATAAAGAATATTTTACACAACAAATGTTACAATTGGAACCATCTAGCTTCAAGACCTGGACATAAACAACAGATTGCTCTTAGGCATCAATATCGCACAGAATGACAAAGGATCCAAGGCAAGATCAAACAGAAGGCGGTTTTCATTACAAAACTTTAACACTGCAAAGTTTTACACCAGATTGAATCGAACACTTAACTATGCTGTGCTTTCTAGTGTTCATCTCTCACCACGAGCAATCGCAGCCCAGAGCAAAAAACAACCACCTAAGGAATCCAAAACCTTCAAAATTGAGGGTGAGGTAAGGAAAAAAAAAATTCCATAAGACATATTACAATGAAGAAATGAAAAGCAGAGAAGCATTCCTGAACTCGATGCAAAGCACCTCTTCAGTCTTTAGGAGAAAACACTTTCAGTAAAAAATTGTACAAGTAGCCCCTCTTTGTAATGTTCTGGTATCAAGAAACTTTGCTATAGACAAAATTCCACCAAGCCATCCCAAAAAAATACAGAAACGGGATGGACATGACTTGTGTACTCATGTTTGAGTGCATGTAGAAAAAGCAGCTCGGTTAATCTGAGTCCTTTGAAGAACCTGATGAAGAGTCTGTTCCCTTGGAAGATTCCTCTTCATTTACAGAACTTAATGAGCTACCTTGGTGGTGGTTCTCCTCATCAACAAGGCCTCGAGATTTGTTTGGTCTCTGTCTGATATTAGAACCCACAGGGAATGGCTCCTACAGGAACGGTAAACATGCAGAAGAGAAGAAACAAGGTGAATAATTAAGCAGGGAGCCATTATCATCTCTTATCATTCTGCGGGAAAAACGAAAGATTCACGATCCCCAGTTAGGTACTACCTGATCACCTGCATTTGGACCGTCGGTACAAAAGAGAATAGGACGACAACGTTTATCCTCGTTCATCAAGCTCGAATTCTGGAAATGGGCAATGAGAGCAGTTTTTCCTTGGATTCGAGCATATGCAAGAGATGCCACCTTTTCACTGTTGAACTTCTCCCACTTTTTGCCATTGAACGCCTGCAATTGATTTGATTAAGTTTTGCATTGTACAAAGAAAAACACAAAATTTCAAACAGACATAAGCACCAAACTCCTCCAAATGGAAAAATTGCATAAAATTATATTGTATTATAGTACGCAGATCAGACCTTATGAAACGGAATGATATGAAGTGGATCAATCAAGTTGATGAATGCATAACCCACATTGCATTTGTTCTGTCAAAAATATAAATGTGGAATTATTAACAAATATTATCAATATGTGGTTTTCTTTCCGGGGGAATAAATTGACACCAGGGAAAAAATTACTTACCTTGAAATCGATTGGCAAATAAATAAAATCATAAGTTCCACGACATTGCTCGTCAATTGCAGCTAGAATCATCTTTGAAGTATACCTGCAATTTATAATTACATCATATTAAATCTGGGAAAGAAGCATGTGATTAACATTATCTCAAATCAAAGTTGGAAAAAGGGTATAAACGCAACACAAACCAAATCAAACAGGCATTTGCTCATATTAGCGTACAACTTGATATAGAATTGACTTACATAGTTACATGGCATAGCCCAGTACTTATTTGCCAACTCCACTAACTTTAATTCAATGGGACAAAAATGGATCGATAAAATTATAAAAACCAATAGCACACAGCTTATATTTTTATATTAATGATCAAAACCATCCTGTTATGCTGTTATGTTGCAATCAGATGATCCAAAGGGGTGGATAACCAATTAAATAATAATCAAATCTATGTGGAATCACAAAATGCTTTTAGTATGCTGTAAGCAAAGTATTAAAGCATCTCCACAGATTATCTAGGTTACTCCAAAAGATTAAACTCATTCTAATGTTACCAGTTACAGAAAATAAATATGTTAAATGAGCAAAAAGTGAAAAAACATAAAATTAAAATAAAATAAAGTAAAAGCAATAAACAAGGAAATGATCATAACAGAAAGGAGGGCCATTCACATACTTGTTGGGAATGTTCTTTATCATCAAAGTTGTTCGGCTGTCTTCCCCATGCAATATACGGTCAATCTCGAGTTCAAACTGTTTCTTATCAGCATGAATGGAACTGCCTCCATTTCCACGGTATGAGGGGTTTCTCACACGTTCACTGGGAGAACCAAAAGAGGTTGCCATTGAAGTAACAGCATTTCTCCCAGAAAAAATGTGGGACATCTGATTAGGACAGCGCATCACATCATTTTTCAACATGTCTGTGCAGTTTTCACCAATATGAGAAAAAATGTTGTGAGATCTTTCCAGTGGCTGCAATGGTAAACTACCAGGGAAACTCACATTCCCAAGCGACCCCAACTGAAATTCTGAAGCTTCAGGAGATCCTCCTGTATAGGTATGCCATCCATCCCAAAGGTCAGGATACTTAGCTGGTGCTGATCCAACATGGTGTGCAGGCAAATTTGTGTTCAATATATGAGATGGTTCTCCAGAAAATCCAGGCAGCTGTGCAGGGCGAGAAGCATGAAGACCATTGACAAACAACGGAGAATTCGACCAACTCATAGAACTTAAAGGATGATGCTGAAATGAGTTGAAGTTGTTCCACACATTACAATGTCCAAGAAGAGGACAGGTTCCACTCTTAGAAGAGCCAAAAACTGAGGAGGAAGATTTTGTCATGATCATGATAACCAAATTAATGAGAATAGGTTTGGGACAAGAACATTTACTAATATCCTAAACGGACAAAAGTTAAAATGTTATTAAGAAAATAACTGTAACTAAAGATATGAAAAACATTATGCGCTCAGTCAAAATGCTGCCTAAAAGTTAAGGTGCGGCAAATTAATTCCATTTTTATGTTGAACACCAAATTTGCCCTAATCGGTCTCATAATACAATCTGAATGAGCATAAATCCACCTCAAAAGTAGCGGAACTGCCATTTCTAAGATTAACACACTTTCTGTCAATGTCAGAAATTTGTAGATAGGGGAATATAACAATTTATCTTGGGTATAAATCACAGCAATCCAAAGGAATCAACTGCATTGGAAAATAAATACCCCACTTACTGTGGAGCATTGAATGAATGGGGCAGGTCTAAGTGGATCTTTAAACTGCAAGAGTGTACTAATTCTTTAGTAAACCAATTAAAAGAACTAATAGCATAATAGCATAGACAGATTTCTATTTCCCTCCCAAAATTAAGGACTCCATGTCTCATGGCCCTTACCACTTATGTATCTCCTGACACTTATATTTCTAGTAATGCTCTGAAAAGAAAGAGTAATGGGCATTCTGATTTATGTAGCCTGAATTGAAAAAAGGGGGAAAAAGTACATATGTATTTACAAGCAGAGTATATTGTTGTCCTACTCAATATTGGTGACTTGGATAAAAAAAAAAATTGAATAGGCACTTAGAAATATTTATCAAATTCGAAAAACAAACACTTAAAAAATTCCATATCAGGAATGAGAAGAAAGGAGAACAAAAGGAAATGCTTCTGATTGCCAGATTCAATCTTCCAAATGGAACAGCAATTAAATTTGTCCAAGTACTCGAGACCACAAATAGCAAAGATTCTTGGTGACAGATTAAAACACTTTGGGGGGGGCAACGGTAAGAACTGCTACTACTTGAGATAATCTAATTGGGGCAGGCAAGCAAAATTTGTTTAAGAATAATTTTCTTGGATCACCATGCATCAAAGGCATACTTGCATACTTGATCCTTGTGATTTTGTCCATCACATTAGAACATTGAAGTTTTATTTTATTTGCTATCATAACACTGCTTTTGTCATGTTTATTTTTTTATTCTTTATATAACAGCCGATCCCAAACCCGGAAATTAGGTTGTTTAACAACCAGCATAAAGCTTTTGTCCAAACGAAGTAACTCATGAAAATGAATCATATTGTATATTAAGGGCTTTAGCCAGTGGTATCTCCTCTACCTTTCAAAGCAAAGATGAGGATTCGAGTCCCCCTAGGGACAAATGGGTGTGTAAGTTTCTTGCAAAGGAAACAAAAAATTCATATTGTATGGAGAAATAAAATGTCTCTATTTTTTGCTGCTTCTGATGAATCATTACTTTCTCCGATGTTCTTTTTCTACTTCGCCTCCACACCAGGCATCAACCATGATTTTTATCTTTTCATTATTGCCTATTCTTCTCTTTCTAGAATTATCTAAAGGTCTCTTTATCTCTATACTTCTGCTTTTAAAAAAAAAAGATATCTTAAAAGATCTTGCATCATTTGATAAAAGAACAAATTTGAAATCAAGGATTTTAGTTTACATCAACGGTTGACCATTCAAGTTGGATTACGAATTTCAAGGTAATGTTATATTAGATTTATTGGAGAATTATTTTATTATAATCATTGGCAACTTAAATCCTTGCAGGCATGGATTTCTAATAACTTCTTACACCTTGTTATTCGAAATCTACACATATAATTCTCTCAAATACATTCATTTGAAATTAGATCAATTCATTTAAAATCCTTCAATCCAAATGGAACCTAAAATTTTCTCTCTTTTTGTCTTTACCCTCCACTGCCACCTCCAAATCAAATAAGCAGCTGAAGCCGCCAAATAGCAAAACACAATTAGGTTCTCAAATTGAAAAGTTTGTATAATGCAAGTTCAAGGCTGCAATCTCAAGGCAAAGGGTTGACCCTAATTTTGTTCATGAGAACCATGACATTGACCCTAATTTTCTTTTTGAGGCCTCATTTTTCCCCCAGCATTATAGCTCATTAGAGGTCCATATTATATTCATTGGTGACTAGAGGAATTTGAACCAATGTTAACAGAATTATCGTCAATTGCCATCAAACTCACAATAATTTCAAATTAAAATCTTCAAAACCCTGTATAGAATATTGAGAATATAGATGAGGAGATCAAGATACTAAGAAGGAAAGCAAGAGAATCACGTATATACTGAAAGAAATCAAAGAACATAAAAGGAATTAATTGTGGATAAGATTGAGGAAATCAGAGGAAATGATTCAAAAGATTTTGACTTGATTATATTTCCACATTTTGTTGTATCTCTTAGTTTGTTGATATATTTCCCGAGGTATCGATATAAAGCCATTTAGGACTTATTGAACTGCAAGTCACTATCAATAGATTTGAGTTTTTCTATAATATCCAACACGTGCAAGAATACCAGAAAAAAAAATGGAGACTGAAAAATAGCACATACTGATCCATTGCACTTACCCCGTCCATTAAGTTCCTTTAGCTGCCCATTCGAACCAACTTTACAAGTATGTTTGTCGGTCATTCTGTCCCCTACGCTGACACCAATATTGCCAGCCATGTCTAGAAAATTGCTTGAAGAGTTGTATTGAAAGGCATTGTTGAAACTATCATGATACACAGGGAAGGAATGGGGATGGGAACTTGGAATGCATTCGTTACCAAATTTCACTTTATCTGTAGAGTGGCTGCACTCACAAAGGCCAAAGTGATTTCCAGCAGATACCACTCTCACTGGAGAAGGCAAGGAGCTCAGAACACTAGAACTCTCATGATGATTTGCATCTTCAGTGAGTGCACTACTGGGCACTCGGATTGCGGAATGTAAGCCCTGGATAGATTTGTTATCCATGAACCTAGTTGTTCCTCCAGGAGATACCATTGCTGCAGTAGATAGTGCAAGGACGTGAAAAAACAAAAAAAACAAAAAAACAAAAAAAAAAAACAAACAAACATTTGCTTGACAAAGAAGGCAAAAATAATAATTTAATATGAAAAGTTCCTATCAGGAAGAATCATACACATCAACTCTAATGATGAACTGTCATTGGGATTTCGAAATGGACTGGGTTCATAAAGCAACTCGGAGCAATGTTCCGTCAAACTGCAAAAAGGAACATTTTTGCATAATATTTTCAGAGGAAGAAAAGGGAAAATAGGACATTAACGCATGCTAATAGTGGAATAAGGCAAGGAAAAGCCATGAAAAACCAGCATCGTCACTCTGAAAGAACCAACAAGAGTCAAAAAAAGTAAAGGCAACCAAAAGACAGAAGTGAAAGTACCATTGTCTTGCACCCCCTGGACGGCTTGGTTCAAGCTTGATCCGTTTCCCAGCAATATCACGCCCGTTCAATGCACGAAGTGCAGCTTCTGCAGCTCTAACATCATAAAACTCTATGAATTTATGATGATGCTCATGCGGAGTTTCGCGGATCTGTCAACCAGAAATAAGAACCATGTAATTTGCAGTGTTTCATATATCTTAGCAACTACAGAAAGTAAAATTCAATGCACATACTTCCTTAATCTCTCCATAAATGCCAAAAATGTGGCGAAGGTCACCGTTTGAAACAGAAGTATCAAGGTTGAATACCACCAGGGCGCCCTGGTTAATATCTTTTTCTGGAGGATTATCCTAACATAAAATTCAAAAAGTTAGCCAATTAAGAACATCGCACAAATTTGCAAAAATAATTTCCTTGAGGACACCAAAAAATAAATAATGAATAAATAACCCACTATCGATAATGAAAAAGAACAGTGGCAGCAATAGTGGCAAATATAAATGATGGCTTGGAGAAGATAACTATACATAAAACAACAAACAAATGTAATGCAGACAATAAAAGTAGCTGAACGGCAGTCAATGCACCTTCGGAATTGAAAAGTGAATGTCAAGTTTCCTACGCCTCAATGGTTTATTTTGAAGTGCTCTCATCGCATTCCTCGCTGCCCTTATATCATAGTAAGAAATCATGACAAACCCACGATGCTTGCATGCGGTATAGAGAGTTCTAATATCCCCATATTGCTGGCAGAAAGAAGTAAAATTGTAAACAGAAGCTACAAAAAGTATTTAAAGTGAGCTTGCATAGACTCCTAAGAGACAATTCAAGGCATAAAAAACTAAATGATACCTCGAAAAGAGCCCTCAATTCGAAATCTTCAACACTGCTACTGATATTTCTTATAAAAAGTGTTCTAGAAGGATGTTCGCCATAAGGATGTTCACTGGCAAATAACCCGCCATTAGAACTCCCTTGACTGATGGAATTCCCCCCAGCAAAATTAGAATTTTTTTGTTGGCCCGGGTGTGAGCAATTATCTCCTTCTAGTTCCATGCCTCCGCCATTGCTAAATATATCAAGATCATCAACAACATCGGCACCATTGGCACGAGTAGCATATTCCAACTCTTCAGTCACTCCAGAAAAGAGATCGTCTTCGTCAGGAAGGAGATTCCTGATGGTTTCTGCCTCAATTTTTTCTGTGGGTTCCACTCCCTTGTTACAGGAAACGGGTTTACAAAATAGAGCCTCACCCGTTGACAACTCCACTGCATGATGAGTTTCTAAAGTAAGAAAAATGCTTACAGGAATATATCTATCAGAAAGTCTTTGAGTAAGGAATAAAATATTGATATGGGGAGAGATCAAGATCCAGAAACACATAGATATTGACAGAGATATTAATGTTTATATAGATTAAAGAAAGACTGGATTTGCTTGCAGAAATAAATTGAAGTTTGCAAGTGTTATTACACGGGAAAGATACAAATGATGCATTATTGAGGCCCTTTTGTACATCGATACCTACTAAACGTTGGAAGTTGGGAGAATTGAAATGTATGCAGATGTAACTTTTGACATTATAAGTAGAAAAGTGCCAACTCTAAAAGTCGAACCTGAATTCTCATGCTCGGCAGCTCAAGTTTAACCGGTCCACTACACCAACAATGTATGGATGATCTATAGTTACACATTTTTTTCATTAATTATTTATAAGACAAGGATGTGGTGTGAGGATGCAGAGAGTGTGACCGGGATGTAGAAGGCGACACTTACATCCATACATCTAAGCATCACAGATGTTAAAATATAATCCAGTTGACACAGTGTAACATAACCAGCAGGGTACCATGTGGATTTCTGAACAATGTGATTAAAACAAAGCAACCAGTTCGAATGAAGCAGGAATCAGATCTTAGGACAGTAGGAGTAATGATAAACCGCTCAAAAGGGACGGTTTAGCAACAAAACTGAATGTGTGTCTGATGTGCGTAAAGGCACTGTTGCCCAACTTTAATAAGTATCATGCCTAAGAGAAGACGTTCTCCAAATCTTCTGGTAACTAAAGAGTTTTAAGCATAAAAGACGAGAATAATTGAGAATATTTGATGATCGTATAAAACCTAAAGACGCCACATTTAACTCTCAGGATCTTTTACATATGTTTTAAGGTTAGCAGAAATTAAATAACTTCTAGCATGAACTGAATATTCTCATTTACCTATCAGTACCATCAATAAAAATTTTGGAAAATTTAGTCAGTGGCAAGTACAAATGCATGCATAGCAGAATTCATAATTTATTACCTATCATAAGGCACGTTTAAAAAAAAAATTGATATATTCTATTTTTTCAGTTTATCAGTCATACGATCAATTGAATCAGTTGATTTAATGGCTGAATTAGTGAACCGATAGGGCAATACGTTTAGTGGTTGGATGTCCAATTCAGTCATAATTATTACCTTTCTAATCTTTGACAAGGTTGAAGGAGCATTGTATAGATTATGATAGTCAATAGCACTGAGATGTTAAGGGTATAAGTCAATATTCTCAATAATTGTAACGAAAAGGGAAGCTAAGATTGGAGGAACTCAAATCTTCTGGTGTATAAAAGAAACTTATAACATTTGGATATCTCATTCAATAGTTTTCTAAAGCAGAACCTAAATCATGAATCTAGTACGTGTACGAGTATGATAACAATTTCTCCTGAGGTAAACCAAAACTACTTTAACAAGTATACTATTTCCAATTAATATTACCGTTGATTGAGTAAAAGAGCTGTTATATTAATCCATTTGATGCGGTTAAGTGGAAAGCTTACACTTTCTATTGAACACTTCAGACAATGAGCTTGAGAAGAGATTGTTCTCACACAGAGTCCCATTAATTCTAGTCCTATTTCTGTCCACTATATAAGACGAGGCCGGCTCATACAAATTTGGCCATATCATTTGATCGTGGTTCATGTATCTTCCGGAAGCTGTGGATAAATTAGCAGTTTCCTCTTCTCCACCCATGTGAATCTTTTTCTTTTGGTATCCCGCTACATAAGACGGAGGCAGTTCCAAGCAATCCAATGATCGTGCACCAAATGTGAAATTTTTTTCCAAAGATGATGAAGCATCTGGCCTGCTGCCAGGTGTTTGAACCATTCTATCTGTTCCCACTATAGAATAACAATGATACATCAGTCAGCAGTTAGAAATTCTTCACCATTTGCACCCTCTAATCAGTTATTGAATAATCAGTAGATCACAAGTTAAGTTCAGACATCCTAAGAACAACCCACAAAAGGAGGAAAAAGAACAAGATGAGATGGGCACCCTCATACTCAAGCCTTAAATGATAAAAACATGCATGATATAATAAAGGAAAATGATTCTAGGAAGCAACTAGACATTGATCAAGAATAATGCCAGTAACACAACAACTATAAACTCTAATCAGCACGGGAGATGACAGCTACGAAATTGCAACATTAAACATAATCCATGTCGCAACTGAACTACAGTATGGAGCAAATTTAGAAACAATATCCGCAAACTTCATCACCATGATAGTCAGTACAAAGTACACAGAATCAGACATAATTACTAGTGATTCTTGTTCACTTGCTCAGCTGCTCAAATAGTGGCAGGAGAGCAGCATTATCCGTACACTGGAATAACATGAATGTGGGAATATTTGGGATAAGATTTTATTACAAAATTGGGAAAGAGGAAATGCATAAACTATTGTAGAAATATTTAGATAATAATGTCGGATTATGTTCCTCTGATACAGAGATGGCTGGACCCATCATTTTGTATAACCAGAAGCTTTCAAAACTGTAAACAACTGGTCAGAAACAACCCATGGAAGAAAGGGCCAAACAGCCTTGGGTCAAGTGGTAACATGATAAGTCCCTAGGTTTGCATCTTGCCAGGCAAGAAGAGAAAGGGAAAAATAATAATAAAAATAAAAATAAATGAAGAAAGAAAGGGGGAAAAAAGGACAAAAAGATAAAGAAAACATATTGAAGCAAGGCAGAATGCAGAAGAAAACAATAGAAGTTGTCATGGGAGGTGCTACCGTTTTCCTTCCATGCAATGTACAAGCATTTCTCAAACAAGCCTTTCTATTATACTTTTCCTTTATCAACGGTATCAAATTGGCTGACACAACATGAATTATACCTCCATATGAATGGTTAACTCCCCAATTTTTCATAGGTTGTATTGCTGCAAGGGTACATTATTTGCTCTTGCATATTTTTCTCATACGGAAACGCTCTTGCCTAACTTGAAGTGGTTGTTTCAATGTCCATTTATGCAATTCACTGATTTTTTTCATTTGAGGACTGTGAGTAACTCAAATAGACCAGATCTATGATTTTATGTTACATGGACTCCTCTCAAGACATCCAACACTTGGACATCTTGACACTTTTTGTTGAACATGCACCTAATAATAATATTTATTTGTTCCTTTTTGTTGCATTATTTCTTTAAAATGAGTGAAGCCCTTATGTTGAACACTTAAAGTTACATAAAGTACCCCTTCAAAGTGAAAAAAATATTAAAATATGAACATTTTACCATGTCCCCTTTCCGGGATGATAAGTCCAACGCTTATCATTTGTATATGATGACCATAATAAATAGGTAAAAACTCAATGTTAACAAATTTATCACAATTCTCTCCAATTTATAACAAAGAGTTTTCAGTAAATCACTGAATAAAACCGTATCTCAATCCCGCATTCCTGACTTCATGATTGATCATGGCACAAATTGCAGCATGCATTCAAGTTACTATAACATCTCAACTCAAAGGCAAGCAACTACATGCAAAACAGCATAGAAATATATTTGCAACTAAGTAAAATGACATAATGGGTCCTGAAAGCACTTCTTACAGGAGCACAATAAAGAAATTATTCCTCAATAGAAAATATATACAAAGTGATCATGGAGTAGGAGATGCAATCAGTAATACCCAGAAGAAATGGGTTCCGCTTTGAAAATGCATTACCATATTACAAAACATCATTGAAAAGATCACCCACTGATTAGCGATAACTCATCCTTTAGTTTTTAAAGAGGTCATTTCAATTATTTGAGCAGGCATGCTGTTCCCAAAAATACAAGTCCACTAATAATTCAAATAATTAGCACCATGGATTGTGTTTGCTAAATCATATGATGGACACTAGAAGACTCTGAAACCACTCTGTTTCCGGCATATCAAACTAATTCAACACCAAGAAACTTGCAAAGAAATTCAAATTCTATAGGACCAGTTGTCACATATGTTGTTCTGACAGTAGAAAACTATTAATTACTGGCAATACCAAACAATTGGGTTGTGTTAATGTCTGGAAAATTCTTATGAACAAACATGACAAGCATTTATGATAATCATCACACAATCCAAAGTGACTATGACCGGGCATCCATGTTATTGATGATAGATTTTGCTTGCAGGCGCCAGTAGATTGTTTCCATATGTGTATATAGAGATAGAGTGAGAATAACTTTTACATCCAGAAGGTCCAACTTTAGTTCATGAAACTAGAAACAAGCATCCCTAAATATATATAGATATATATATATACACGCACACATATATAATGTCTAAATGTATATAGATTAAGCTTTGACAGGCCAAATTGCCGAAAGTTCTATACCTTCATTCTCATGAGCTTTCTACATCCTATTCGGGAAAAGAAAAAAAAAAACAAAAAACAAACTATATATATATATATATATATATATATATAAAGAGGAACCCTTGTCAAGTAAAAATAAAGAAAGCTCACCATAATTATCATGGATAGCTTTTGGCTTCCAAAATCCAACTTCTCTCTGCACATTAGAAGGACACAACAAGTTCAGAAAGAGAAAATATTTCACATAATACCCCTCAAAGTTTGCAACGTCTTCAGAACAACTAATAATTTTTGAACCCACAAACTCATTAGCTTTAACATTACTAAATACCTCGGGAGGAAAGCAAATATCCTTGAAGAAGTGGGCCGATGCAGTTGCACCCCTTCGATCTACTATTTCAAAGGGCATCATGCAATTTGGACACCAAAAAACAGGCTGAAAATTCAAACTTCCTCAATTGCCAGATATATCGGAATGGCACTGCACGGTCTTCTCAAAGGAATTCAAAAAGCTTCCGCTTCATAAATGGCAGGTCTCCAAAGACCAAACACTGCAGCAAATTCTGAAACAAAAAACAAAGATAAAGAAAAATATTTAAAATTAAGCACTGTCAAAATGCATTTGACACCTAACCACTGAACGGACATAACTTGAGCATGATTAATATAAGATAAGATGATTTTTGCTGTTTTTATCCCCCAATTATTCATTAAATTGAAAACCAAATGTTTACCTACCATTGACAAGCATAAAGGTTCACATTCGTTCCTGGTAGAGAGTAGGTACAGAAAAGCAAAAAGAACAGTAAGTAATAGTTCTTACAATTTCATTCTTTCTTCTTGTCTTTTCCCTTCTTTTTTTTTTTATAGAGTTTGTCACATCTAAAAATAAATAAACAAATTTAAAAGAAAATGATATTCAAAATTTTATTTCACTTATATTTTCCTCAGTTTTCTTCACACCCAAATGGATATGTAGAGTAAATAATAGCCAAAAGAAAAAACAATAATAATAACGGCTGTTCGAAGAGCAAACCCCAAGTTCTAAAATTGAAAACCAAATGTTTACCTACCATTGACAAGCATAAAGGTTCATATTCGTTCCTGGTAGAGAGTAGGTACAGAAAAGCAAAAAGAACAGTAAGTAATAGTTCTTACAATTTCATTCTTTCTTCTTTTCTTTTCCTTTTTTTTTTTTTTATAGAGTTTCTCACATCTAAAAATAAATAAACAAATTTAAAAGAAAATGATTTTCAAAATTTTATTTCACTTATATTCTCCTCAGTTTTCTTCACACCCAAACGGATATGTAGGGTAAATAATAGCCAAAAGTAAAAACAATAATAATAACGGCTGTTGAAGAGCAAACCCCAAGTTCTAAAATTAAGCAATGTCGCTATGAAACTCTAAAATTCAAGCACAATGTAAGTTATATAACTTCAGAAAAAGCCTAAATCTAAATCCACATATCAGAGCATCATCACAAAATCTAAATCCAAAAGTTATCAGAAATTCTACTTATAACCCATCAAAACAAATTAACCAAAACTCCATCTCTGATCCACCAAACACAATCAATTGAGCAATCAGAAGATTTAGAAAAAACAACACCAGAGACGACAACAATGCAGTAAAGCCAACCTTCAAAACGAAATCCTTACCAACTTCCACCTTCCTCTCTCTAACTCTGCAACCTTTTATATACAAAATCATCAGAAGATCAAAAGGTAGAGAGAGAGAGAGAGAGAGAAAGCAAAAGCATTGATCAAAGTGAGGACAGGATGAAATTAAATGGGACTATTTCATACATATATGTATACACACACATATACGCGCGTGTGGTGTGTGTGGAGTGTATTTCTAAAAAGAGAAATAATAGAAGCAATCTCACTCTTCGACTAGCTCGTTGACATGCCGCCGGAGTTTTGAAGCTCACTGAAACGGTCGCCGGAGTTCTGAAGCTCGGAGTCAGCAATCATGGAATATGCCGGCGAGGAAGGGGTGAGATTCGGAGGAGCTTTCCTCTAGAGAGAGAGAGAGAGAGAGGAAGTTTTAGAGAGAGAAAGAGAGAGAAGGAAAGAGTTTCTGGCTCTAAAAAGGACGAAAGTGAAATGAAATAGGCGGGTCTTGAATTAAAACGGCTGTGATGAGATTGTAACGGAGTACGAGTAGTAGTTATCAAACCCCGTTCCGTTCCAAAAAGGCCTAACACACGCAAGTCATATTCTCCGTTATAACGGCGTTAGCCGAGAGTCACTGCCTCTCCCATATCGAGCCGGTTACTACTTTATTACTACTCGTACTATCTTACTCAATTACTATTATGCCCATTCACCTCATTTTGTTACTCATTTAATGAACTGATGATAATAAGTACTAGACCATATCTTTCTTTTTCTTTTTCTTTTTTTTCCTAATTGAGAATATTGTAACCATATCTTACTTGATACTAGAGTTGAATCAATTTTTATTTTCAATCTTTTTTATAGTATTTTATGAAATATAAGTTTACTTAATTGGACTGAACTACATAATTCACAACCATTTAATATTTTTTTCTAAATTGGACTGAATTACATAATTCACAACCATTTAATATTTTTTTCTAATAAAATCATGTCTTAATTGGAACTGCATGCGAAAATTTTCAAATAAGAGCATTTTTAGGGTCCGTTTGGCATGCGTTTTGTTTTGAGTTAAAACAGAAACAGTATTTTTGTTATATGAGTGTTTTGAAAAAAAAAAAAAATGAAAGCAGTTTGGAGATGATGTTTTAGGGGTTTTGTTTTTAACCCGTGTTGCGCTACTGTTATGGTTTTGGGCCATGAACAGTTATCAAAATTAAAAAAAAATAATTAATTTTTTGGTGTTTTGATTTTGGACCATTGTTCACGAAGTGTTTTATCACTATATAAAATAAAATAAAATCATACTAAATATATTTTTGTTACCAGAATCAATATTATAACAGATTAAAAATAAAAATATTATAAATAAAACGTATCTCAAACAGAACTTAGTAATAATTTTGTTCTTTTCTCACTCAAAAGAATATTAAGAAATGTAGAGTGTCCCAACAATTGTTTAATCTTTATCCTGAAGCCAACAATGGGACACACCGAGAGAAGTCACCACTCACGAGACTCATGATTATTTAAATATTTATTTTTAAATTAATGAATATTTTGGATAGATAATTCAATTTTATCCATTTCCATTGGACAAGGTGGATTTGATGTGATATATAGAGTGAGGTCCGCTTAAACTAAAAAAATAGGTTAATTACAACTATATAATTGTTTAATTTTTTTTATGCTGCTCTAACTTCTCTTTGAATATCAAGGACATTAGTACATCACCGACAAAACAAAAGTTGAACTTGTTTGGTAAAATAAAAATATATTGTGAAAATGTTACCTATAATTAGTAACTGAGTACATATAATTAATGTTAAAAATGAAGCCCACCCAATAAAATCGGTGTCACTGGACTCACGGCTATTTAAATATTTAATTTTTCAATTAATATTTTGAATAGATGGTTCAATCTTATTGTTGGATAAAGTGAATTACACCTTATATACAAAGTGAGGTCCGCTTAATCTAAAAAAATAAGTTAATTAAAACTATATTATTATTCAATTTTTTATACTCGCTCTAACTTCTATCTGAATATCAACAAAAGTTGATCTTGTTTGGTAAAATAAAAATAAATTATGAAAATATTATCTATAATTAATAAATGACCCATGTACTTAATCTAATTTTCTTTGTTAGAAGTATTTTGGGGTTAGAGACTTAAAGTAACGGAAACAATCCAAAAATAGTTTAAAGACAGCATATAAAATCACTGACCAAGGTACATGTACTTGGATAAATCATATAGCAAATATGAGTAATGATCAAAGAGCAACCCAAGCATGCACTGATTCATATTGCCGAAAAAGAGTAAAAAGCAAAATAGAAATGATGGTAAAGAGAATGGACCACTATTTTGTATTAATTGATCTAAATGTAGTGGCATTTATTGGACCACACCATTGTGAGAAAGCTAGGCAACTTTATTTGTACCTAGTACTACTATTAGTTAGGAAATTTATTCTACTAGGTAAAAATTTGATGTGATATTTGTACTTTATATATATTTAGGTAAATTACAGTGACTTTTTCTATAATTTGTCATAATTGTAAGTACATTATTTATGGTTTGAGAAATTACTCAAACCTCCCCTGAAAATAAAACTGTCCCTCCTGTTACGGTCAACGTAAGTCAATGACACTTTTTACTAATGTCATGTACTGAATAAATTAAAATTCTAATATTACCTTTCATCCATTTCCTCTCTCTCATACATACAAATGGTACTAAGTCATTTACCATAATAATTTGAGGGCATTTTAGTAAATTAGACAAATTTGTTAGTGCATTTGACGATTTGTCACTAGGAAGGAAGGTTCGTGTAGATTAGTTTTATTTGTAGGAAAGGTCTGAGTAATTTTTCAAATTATAGAAGAGATTTATGTAATTGTGACAAATTATAAGGGAGGCTTGTGTAATTTATCCATATATATATTCATATATATATATATATATACACACACTTTATTGAGAATGGCTCATATGATGCGTGTGGTGTACCTAATCCAAATGTTTGGTTTGAAGAATAAAATCTATATATTGTATAATATAAGATGTATAAGTTAATAGAGGATAAGATTTTGATCTTTCTTAAAGTCTTATCTTCTCCAACTTTTATTGAAGTTTCGTGTGGGGATTAAATATAAATATTGAGTATTGTTGCTTGTACTCTTTAAAGTGGACAAAGAAATGAATACTAGCCACATTTCTATAAGCTTCTATGGTTTGACATTTTTTACAGCTATCAAGCCATTGTTCCCATTTTCGTTTTCCTCTGTACATTTTTTAAGGAATGAATTTTTTTTATTTTATTCGCCCTCTAGTCACATGCTCATTTTTGTTTTGAAACTCGTCTACCGGTAGAAATTATAAATTAATGAGAAAATAATTTTACTTTTTTTATATACAACCAAACAATGGAATTGTTAGAAGTATACATATATATATTTAAAAAATGTTTAGTTAAAATAATCGAAATGTTACATCAATCACTATTAAAAAGGCTTTGCTACATATATAAATAGTTTTCTGAATATGTTTGGTCGCCCCAAGAATTAAGGAAAATGAAAGGGAGGGAAAAGAGGAGGAAGTCACTCTTCTTCTTCCACAAAGATTTTGCTCGTGCAAAAATATGTGGACAGAAAAAGGCTAGATTTTTTTTATTATTCATCCAGAAAATTATATGAGGGAAAAAATGGTAAAATTTCTTAGTAATTTTATGAGGGCAATAGTGAAATTTTATAGGCATGTAATTCAAAAAATAAAAATTAGCACGGGTATAGTACTAAAATAAAAAATAAAAAATAAAAATGGGGGCAATTGCCCCAACTGAATTACACATAGGTAAGTGTGTGCTTAATGTTACGTTTTGGAGCATCGTATTAGTACCTTAAATTTTAAATTAGAAAAAATTTAGTTTAAATTTGAAAGTGTTGATGTGAAAATCCTTGCGACCCAAAACAGCGGCGTTTGCCTACAAAACAATGGAATGTCACCTCGAATGACAGCGGTGGGTACCGGCCAAAGAACCGGGCTAGCTCGATGTACCGAGGTTGGTAAGTCAGTCTTCTAAACCTTGTCATCGTATGTAGATCAACAATTGATATCGTGTAATCCACTATTCTGCTCCCAGTATGATGATGGGATCTTGGGTGATAATCCATTTTATAGACGTTTATATAGCGGACGGGGTGCCTGGTGCTGCAACAATTTACAGTTGTCTAAGACGTTAGATTGTGTTAAAAATGATTACTGAAAACCTGCAATGGACCATCGATCCAAAATTCTGCATAATATGAAGAAAGGTGACGACCGACGTCTGGTAGGTGGAGGCTTAGTGTCCAACGATCGACTTGATACCTGGTGGATGGGGGTGTGGTGCCCAACGTCCGACAAATGATGGTCTGGTGACCATTAGTCGAGTGTTTCGTTTGGTATAATGATCGCCCTTGACTTAGGAAACTCTTTGGGAATACAAACCTCATTAGACACGGGATCTTAAAGGACATTGGACCTCATTGGACATGAGGGCCTTGATACATTATTGGGTGTAGAAGGCCACCCTGATTGCACGAACGGGCGGAGTAATAAGGCTCCGTTGCTAGAGACATCCTCAGTGGTAGAGGCTTTACTAGTAGGTAGAGACCCCCTTATTGGTAGTAATCTCCTTGATGGGTGGAGACCCAACCATTTATGTAAGCGCGGAAGGATTAGGCCTTAGTTTTCAACGATCAAGCCTTGGTAGTTGGCTTCTGCCAGATAGGAGACGGGGTTTAGTCTTGGGCGACCAAACCTCAGTAGTAAGGGGACCGAGCACCGCTAGATGGAAGACACCACATTGGACTGGTGCTTGGGTCGACGTGCTAAATTTTGATTATTATCATCGTACACTGGGTGGCATCACGCAATCCACTATTTTGCCCCCAATATGATGGACAGGAAATCATGATGTAGGGACCCGTCCTTATATAATAACAAAGAAACCCCTTATCATCAGATGACTTTATGATGGTTTCCATGATCGGAAACCTTCATCTTGCTGTCCGAACTAAATCGCGTCAGAATTATTATTTCTTTAGGGAACTAATCGTTCCCATAGACAATGCCAGCTGTTAATGCGAAAATCCTCGCGACCAGAACGGCAGCGTTTACCTGCAAAAACAACGGAATGTCACCTTGAATGGCACCAGTGGGGTAGCAGCTGAAGACCCTCTAACGATCAAGCTAGTACTTGGAATCGTATAATAAAAAATTAATTTTGTAATCAATGTTTTGGGGTTTTTTCTCATACCTTCTTTAATGGTTCGATGCCCTATTTATGGTTGTCGATTGTAATCAGGTTGGTTTAGCTGATGTCGACGGTTGAGATCTTCCTTATCATCAGTAACGGGATCTGTTGAGGTGATGAAGTTGGTTTCGATATTAGAGTTCACCTTATCCTCTTCAT